CATTAGGATAAAATCTTGGAATATATGTAATCTCACAGGTAAATTAATGGAGAAGTGTTTGGGCGCGGTGAGTGCTTCAGGACGGCATTCAGGCGGCGTTTGGGGATGAAGAGAATGAAGAGGTAGGACAAGAGAATGAAGAGGAATGTCAATTAAGAGAGCGACAACTCAGAGCGAATTAAAATATACTCCAGAATTATACACTCTTCGACCATGCCTTAGAAGTTATATTATATTTTATTTTTGTATTTATTGTATTGCCAACTATTATTTTAATAAAGCATGAAATTCTTTCGATAAATGTGTAGTTCGAATTTTCCTTTTTTGAATGTTGAACTTAGTAAATTATTTAATTCTTGTAACTTATTTTAATTTCAATACTATCTAAATAATTTAATATTAATTTTATTTCAATTAACTTAATTTAATAATTTTTTAAACAAAATAAAATTTGTATATCAAAATAATTAACTTAAATAAAAAAATAGTTTAATTAATGTCAAAATAGTCATGGTACATATATTTCATTAATAGCTTAATCTCTAAATAATTTTATTTAATTAATACTATTAATTCTATATCGTTCAATACTAATTATTTAGTTATTTACATCACTTCATAAATAGAATTTTAAATTATAATTTTTTTTATAATTCATTAAATAAATTTAAACAATATCATTGAATTAAAATATCATAAATTTAATATTGAAATGTTTTTAATGTTAATATTTTATTATGATATCTAATAATTTTGTTAAAATGTTATTTTAATTATTTTAGAGAAAAAATTAATATTGCTTCATTAAAGTTTAATATTTACAAGCAAAACGCAAAATGATTTTCTTCTTCATTTTATTTATTTTGTTGCGTTAAGGCACGGGAATGTTGTTTTTTTGACCACAAGGAGGGCTGTTAGAGCACGAAGATGAGAAATAAAATTAGGGTCATTCACCTGTGCAAATGAGTTCCTCAGGCACAATAAGAGTTGGACAAGGCAACATAAGAAGACAATGAATAAAGCCGTGTGTTTTGTCCGGAGTTTGATTCGGTCGCAAGCTGCGTCTAGACAACGACTGTGATTTATTAGAGTTCATTTATTGCTCCTCCGCTCATTCTGGTGGATCACAGTCATTGTCCGGATACAACTTGCTTCCGTACTCCGAACATAATATTTTTACATGTGACTGGGCTTTCTTGCATGACAACAAGCGAAGAAGTCAACACAGGAGAATGAGAGATCTGACTTTTTTTTTTAATCAGATAAATTATGGTGTTTTAGATTAGGTTTGGGATGAGAAAAGTAAATATGAATGCGTCAGGTGTCATGTATGCAAAATTCCTGGATAAAAACTAAATGATATGCACGTAAATCTTCCTAATTACATTATACAACACTTAAAATATTATTATTTATTAAATTAACATATAACTTAAAGATGTTTTATATGCCGCCTAGCGTGACCTGTTAGTAGAGCAACCTCTTTAAAGGTCGTAAGTCCCCTAAGATCACATATTCGAATCCTCCTGGCATGTTTGTCAGTAGTGAGAGCGGTCCTCGAATAGTTAGACACATGAGAGTGGCTTGGGGGCTCGTATAATAAATAAATTATATATATATATATATATATATATTGATGTGTGCTAAAAAATTCACTGTGGTTGAGTAATGAATTATCGTTTTAACATTGCACAAGAATTCAACACACAATTAGGTAAAAGAAAATAACAAATAATGAAATCAGAAGTTTTTACGTGGAAAACACGTAAAGAGAAAAAATCACGGGGCCTGACTCACAAAAGGCAATGGTTACTAGGTTTTTCAAGTTATAACATCGACTGACGGCTTTCGGTCTGTGGTGTTTAACGACGATTGATGGTGATTAACGATGGTCAATTGTCGACGACGGTCGGTGGTCGACGGCAACAGTGGTGATCGACGGCAGTTGGCAGTGATCCACGACGATCAATGGTGGTCGACAGAGATTGACAGCGGTCGAAGGGTGTCGACCACGGTCGGCAACGGTGGGGGGGGGCGCCGGCCA